ATGGCTACCTTGAATAAAATGATTACTCAGCTTCCTACTTTTAAATTTAAGACACATTATTTTCTACTGGTAGTTTCAAAAAAGGAAGATCTACTTACACCAATGTCATCCACCAGCATTTTATCCAAGCCAACTGGACCCAGTGAACTCTTTACAATATTAGCAATTGAAGCAGCAGCTGTAACTGTTTCAACAAAAGATTGTTTTTTTCATAAGCAGAATTGTTTCCTAAAAATTTAACTGATGCAATGCAAGTGCTAAATACATGCTTTTAAATATTTTAAAAATAACAAATAGATTTGGGCAATAAAACTGGCAATTACTATTTTGTTTAGGATTTAACTACTGTCTCATTTACACACAAACGTATTTTGTAGTTGAATTTGAAAACAGACTCTGCTGTAACTTATACAAAGCAGGAGCTTTATACACAGGGCATAGTTTGTGATCCAACCATTCAGCTTATCATAAGCAAAATTTAAGACATGAAGACTTTTATGCATAATTATCTTCAGGATTTTTGCATCTACCAACAAAGGAACAACATGATTCAGTCTTAGAAATACTGTACTTGTCTTTGTAATGCTTTGTTCTGCCATTTCATATATATAAAGAAGCTAATATTCATTCTTCTCCATCAGACTATGACAGACATTTATTTATCCCATAAGGATTATCTCTTATTTTGTAGTGCAAATAAGAGGCAGTACAATGGGACATTGTCTAACACCTAGCAATTTTTTCTGGAATTATTTTAACAAGGAAAATTAATGTATGACAATCCAGACAATCCAAATATAAGAGCATCCCTTTTTTAAAAAAAATCTCATATATACTTGGATACTCAAACACTATTTTTACATTGTCTCCTAACACTGAAACAAGAGATGCATAAATGCATAATGCCACAGGATCCAGAGTAAAAGAGACAGCATTTACAGAAGTTTTCTTCTCTAACATGTAAATAATTAAAGTAGTCCCATAGTTCAGCTGGGCTTCTGGTAACCACATGGAAACATGCTGTTTACTTAACAACACAAAAGTGGTTTGTCACTGTCTTTGTCCTCCTAAACTTTGGAACTTTAACTGTAACACAATACTGATATTTAATAATCAAAATGAACCCAGTCCAGTTATTTTCTACAATAGCCTGCTTTGCACATTATTTCTTGCAGGAGCAGAAAGCTAGATACTGGTATTTAAATATAAACTGTGGCAGACCACTTTACAAGACTGTATGTCTCTGAAATGAGACATTTAATTTAAACACCTCTAACTTCAACAGAAGTAATGACATAGAACTTCAACAGAAGTTCATGACATATTTTAATAGGACATAAAGGAGTATTTGACTCTGAAAAAAAATGGTGTAAAAAGGACTAAAATGCTTCGACTATCAAGCTTACTTTTAAACTGCTGAATATATTCACTATGGTTTTAAAACTCTTACAGCCCACTGATAATTTATCTTCCCTCCCAAAGAGATTCTGCATCCAAGTGCAGCAACAAGCTTTTTCTCAACTGCCAGTGTATTACAGGCAGTCCTCCACTTACCACAATTGACCCCCAAATTTGTTGCTAAGTGAGAAATTTGTCAACTGAGCTCTGCCCCATTTTATGACTTTTCCTGCCACACTAGTTAAATGTTAACAACTGCAGTTGTTAAATTAGTAACTTGGTTGTTAAGTGAATCTGGCTCCCCACCCTTGGCTTTGCTTGTCAGAAGATCGCAAATAGGGATCACATAATCCCAGGACACTGCAACTGTCACAAATCTTGAGTCACTTTGCCAAGCATCCAAATGCAAACCTCGTGAACATTCGGGTGCTGCAACGTTTCGCAGATGTGAAAAATGGTCACAAGTCACTTTTTTCAGTGCCGTTGCAACTAAACCCTAATACTCATTCATACGGGGCGTGACTCAAATTCTCCCACGTGGGAATCAGGGATAACTGTATGTCAGTTGCAGAGCGGGCAGATCTAAATGGAGCCCAGGCAGATCCGAACGGGGGGGGGGGAAAGAGGACCGTAAGGTTACTGTAATGCGGCCCCTTCTTCCTAATCCTTTCCGGACACTTAACGAGACGCCGCCAATCTTTCTTCCCTTTCGGGTTAATCAAGTACACGTGCTTCAGTAGGGCCGACTTCGCACCCAGAGCCTACGCCATCCTGCTCGAGACCACGAGTTCAGACAGCCCGGCCGGCCTCGTTGGATGCCCGCGCCCACGCCCAACTTTCCACGCGCCAGAGACGAACGGCGAAGGAACCGTTAACTCTCCGGTGGCTCGAGCCTGTAGCGGCTTAAGGCCCGAGAGCTTCCGAGAATTTTACCGTTTTGTGTCCTGACGTTGTCGCCGGTGCTCCGCTCCCCAAAAACCGCCAAAGCCCCCTCCAGCGCCATTTTCCCGGACAAAGAGACAGAGGCAGCAACAGCGCACAAGACTGCAGGGATTGAGGACGGCTAGGCGAGGCCTTATGGGAAGCTCCGCCCCCACGATCGCGACCTATAAGCCTATCGGTGGATGAGACGCGAATCGGCCGCCCGGGAGTGTCGTAAAACTAGCGTGAGTTGAAGCGAACTCCCCTGCTCGGCCTTTTGGGTCCTGGAAGACGATTGGTGAATCGGGCAAAAATGTCCCGCCCCTTTGTTTCGCGGAACAACCAATGGGAACAGACGGGTGGGATCAATGTGTTCTAGAAGATTCTAGCGAAGGTCAGAGTAGTCGCGAGGGCGTGTTGAGCGCTGCTTCTACCTGGCGGGCTCGCTAAATGAAAACGAATGGTCAATAAAAAAGAACGGTCCATGTCTTCTTTGTTTCTTATAAGAGCTGATCAAACTTTCCGCAAAGGCTTCTTAAAACGGAAATTAAACACTGTACATAACGTGTTAAAATGCGCAATCACGTGGTCTGTCTCCAAATCAAGGTTGCACCGGATATGACTTGTTTCCTTTCAACGGAGATAGGAGAAAAAAAGGAAAAGCGGCATTCCAAATGTTACATGCAGTACTCAGAAATCCGCAAGAATTTATTTAGTCTGATATTTGGATGCTTGTAATTTCAGCTGTAAAGGTTCCCCTTGCATATATGTGCTAGTCATTCCTGACTCTAGGAGGTGGCGCTCATCTATTTCAAAGCTGAAGAGCCAGCGCTGTCCTAAAATGTCTCTGGTCAGCATGACTAAACACCAAAGGCGCAGTGCTGTTACCTTCCCACCAAAGTGGTCCCTATTTTTCTACTTGCATTTTTACATGCTTTCGAACTGCTAGGTTTGCAGAAGCTGGGACAAGTACCGGGAGCTTACCGTTATGGGGTGCTAGGGATTCAAACTGCAGAACTGCTGACCTTTCTGATCGACAAGCTCAGTATCTTAGCCACTGAGCCACCACAACCCTTCAAATCCCTAGCGTCAAGTAACAGAGTGAGCTCCGGTTACTTGTCTCAGCTTCGAAAGCATATAAAAATGCAAATAGAAAAATAGGGACCACTTTGGTGGGGAGGTAACAGTATTCCCTGCACCTTCGGCATTTAGTCATGTCAGCCACATGACCACAGAGATATCTTAGGACAGCGCTGGCTCTTTGGCTTTGAAACAGAGATGAGCACCGCCCCCTAGAGTTGGGAACGACTAGCACACATGTGTGAGGGGAACCTTTACCTTTAATTTCAGCTGACACGGTTATTCTTGGAGAACTTGCAAGATCATATAGACTGTGTCTCTACCCTCCTATACAGGTGGTCTCACTCACCAGGACCACAGAGCCAGCCTTTTCTGACTCAGCATTTCTGCCCAATTAAGAGAACACTTGATGGCTTTCTTAAGATTGAGGGGAAAAAAGTAATGCTCACTATGTCTCAGCAGAATCAGTCCCTCAATATTGCAGATTAAGGGAGGTGAAATTGAAACATTTAAATGCTTTACATCTTCATTATGATTATTGAAAACCAGGTCTGTTTAGTAGTTTAAGGCATCAGGCTTAAAAAGCAATGAGTTGTGGTCCTGCCTTAGGCAGAAAGCCAGCAGGGAGAATTTGGGCCAATAAAACATACATATTCTGCAAGAGGTTATTATTACATTGGATCATCTCCATTGTACCTGAAGGTAGGACAAGATATAGCTAATAGACTTGATACTAACAAATTTATCCACATTTTGATGCAAGAGCTGTCTTGTTCTCACTTAATTTTACTTCTTTTAAGAAGCTTCTATATACCTATAAAACTTGCTGTTGAATAGCATCCATAAATCTAGTTATGTTCGTGAGAATATATTGATTTTAAAAATATTTCTTTAAACTACCACTTGCATAAAACAAAAGCATTAATTACAAATCCAAAGTTCTTTTTTTCAAGAGGCACCTGGACTTTCTTGTTTTTTCTTTGAAGATGTTTTAGATCTGAGGAAGCTTCTTGGATGAGAAGCGAAAGGTCTTCAAAGAAAATCCAGTAACTGGATGTTTCTCTTCTCATCCAAGAAGCTTCTTCAGCTCTGAAATGTCTTCAAAGAAAAACCAGAAACTCCAGTTGCCTCTTGAAAAAGTAGACATGAGACAACCATGACCTAGGTGACTGAGACACTAATTAGAAAAGAACATTTTAAAAGATATCTCCATTGATTTCCTAAGGCAAGGGATTTTGGTGCACAGAACAGAGGCAATAGGATAGTAAAACATTGTTATAGAGGAATGGAAAAGTTACCGATTTAAAAAACAGAATTTTTTCCATTCCTCTATAGCAATGTTTTTCAAACATGCCGGCTGAGCAATTCTAAGAATTAAAGTCTTCGTATCTTAAAAATCACCAAATTTGAAAAACGTTGCTCTACAGTTACAAATCTATAGACACGTTCATCCGCATGTCATTGGCTTATACAACAATTCTGGAGGAAATGAAGGGATTAATATGAGGTTGACCAATCAGGCTTTCAATTTCTTTCTCTCTCTTTGTTTTTAGGAGAACGGAAAGAGACCATGGGAAAAACACGTTAGTTCAACAGAGGAAAAGGTGGCGCCCCCCAGCTTCTTGTAGGTCCGGCTAGGTCCCTTCCTGTTAGTTTTCTTAGGCGTGATGGCGTTCCGGAGGTTGGCTCCGACGCTGAATAGGGCGGCCAGGACATTCGGGGAACCAGACCACGGTAAGGGAGTCGTCGAGATTCAGATTTTTGATGGAGAGCCATCGGTGTCTTTAATATGACATTCAGAAAGATGCGGAAGGAGACTGAACGGTTAAGCCCGCGAGAGTTTTCTCTTTTCTAACTCTTTTTTGCATGGGTCTTTTTGATACAGTAATGTTTGGGTTTCTTTGAGGTTGAATAAACCTTCCCTTTTGGAAGTCTGCATAAGAAGTCTGCGATTTTCAAAATATTTTGACAGACGGCCATCCTTAGCTGCTTACTCTCCAGATGGTTTTAACTTGAATTGCAGGCAAAATACTGATTAAAATTATGATACTTGCACTTCGGGGAGAATTAAGGAATACGGATTTGTTTTGCTGTAGGTGATGGGGATTATACTCTATAGCCAATCTCGAAATAAACATTTTGCAGTTAAATAAACATTTAAAGGGCATCTCTGCAACCTGTCTAAACCACAGATTAGAAATAATGATGTGCCAGGTATTTTTTTAATAAATGGAAATACAAAATATATTATTACTTTAATGAGATTCAGCTTGCTTAAATTAGCAATATCAAGCATTTTTACCTGTTTTCCTTATTCCCATTTCACAATCAGCTGATAACTCTAGTACATTTTCATTTATACATTATACTGATGATCTTTTTTGTATTCTTAGTTGTTTTCTAAGACCTTTAAGCATACATTTGTTTTTCTTTATTTTCTTGTAGGAGTTAAATTTAATTCTTCTGTTCCCAATCCCATATCTCTTCCTGATGAAGTGGATACAAGAGAAAATGAGATTGTTGCTCCTGAGTTCACAAATAGGAACCCACTTAATTTGGAAAGATTGGCTATAGCAAGAAAGGATCTAGGTTGGAAAACCTCATGGCCAAAACGGGATTATTGGTACAGGTAAATTAGAAAAATGCAAAATGGCCTATGTTCAATAATATAGAACTTAACTTAATTTTGAAGAATACTTTTTATCAAATATTTATTCTATTCTGCAGAGGGCAAATATGTGGTCAGTGATAGTGATGTTGTCAGCCTCTCGATCTTTTCTATCTTACTGTTCATATGAATCTGCAGCAATTCCAGTTTGCTTTTTGATTGATTCCAAATTCCCAATATTGATACTTGAGATTTTTTGACTACTAGTTATAGATCCCTTTTCATTATTATTATCTACATTTATATTGGGCCCAATGCCCAGTGATCCTGGATGGTTTACAATTGATTTAAAACATGAAGAGGATGACAATAAAAACAACAAAAATGAGAAAAGAGTAGAGATGGCAGAATAACAAACAATCTGGAAACAAAACCAAAAGTAAACAGCCTAGGATAAAAGGAGATTACCAAAGACTGCGATAAAGAGCCTGGTCCCTTGGAAACACCAGCAGGATGGGGAACATTCCAATCTCGGAGGTAATCTCAGGGTAAAGGTGCTGTGACAAAGAAAGTGCACTTCCAGAGTACTAATGGATGGCATTGTTTAATTGAAGGAATTGGAGCATGCAAACCATGCCAGATCGAATAAGCTGTCTAGATGTTATGGGAGACAGATGAACCTTCAAATAACCAGGTCCTATGCTATGTAGGGCTTTATAGGTAAGAAATTGCACTTGGATAGCACCTGGAAGCAAACTGGCCCCCAACACAGCTGATGAAGCAGAGTTATTATATGGGCATGCTGAGATATGCTCACCATTGTTTGTGTTACTGCATTCCATTAGTTGAAGCTTCTAAATGGTCTTCAAGGACACCCCCATATAGAGCATATTGCAGTAGTCAAGCCATGAAATGACCAGAGCACGAATGACTATCTGAAGAGCTATTGTATTCTGTTCCTCTATCAGTTTACACAGTTCCCTAATCTTTTCTGCCTATTGACGGCAATGCCTTGTGTGAATATAGCAAGTTATAGAGCAATTCACATAGGAAGCCAATATACTGAATTCTTGCCATATTTGTTAAGTGAAACGTTGCAGCAGTTATGTTGGTAACACAGTTGTTAAGTGAATCTGGCTTCCTCGTTGACTTTGCTTGCCAGAAGGTCGCAAAAGGCGATTGCATAACTCTGGCACACTACAACAGTCATAAATAAGCACCAGTTGCCAAGCTTTCAAATTTAGATCACATGACCATGGGGATGCTGCAATGGTCATACGTATGAAAAATAGGCATGTCACTTTTTTCAGTGCCATTGTAACTCTGAATAGGAGCCAAGGAGGCACAGTGGTTAAATGCAGCACTGCAGGCTACTGCTAGATCAGCAGTTCAGCGGTTCAAATCTCACCGGTTCAGGGTTGACTCAGCCTTCCATCCTTCCGAGGTGGGTAAAATGAGGACCCAGATTGTTGGGGGCAATATGCTGACTCTCTGTAAACCGCTTAGAGAGGGCTGAAAGCCCTATGAAGCGGTATATAAGTCTAACTGCTATATATAAGTCTACTGCTATTGCTATTGC